AGGAGAGCCTTCCAAAGATGGAATGATCTCCTGCTGAGTCAACTCGCCAAAGTTGAACTCCTCTTCAGCCACCAAGGCGGAGACCACCGTCTCAAAAGCAATGCGCGGTCGCTCCTCTACTGGGATAGCTTCGAGTGGGGTGAACGCTAAATACAGGATGGAGCTCTTGTAGAACTCTTGGGGCCGACTCAGAGTCTTCCAAAGCAACGCCTTGGTCTTGTGGAAGTGCGACTGAATCAATGCCTGCACCTCGTAGGCGGCTTCAATTTCGGACCCCAAGTTGTCAAGCAGCTCCTTGGCTGCCTCTGTGTCTCCAGATAGAGTGAGCTTTTCCCCCTTCAAGGTCTGCCACAGAAACTTGGCATCTCGGCTGCCAGACATGGCTTCCTCAAAGGGCGCAATGAGATCGAGGGCTACTGCAGGCGTCTGGGGTTTCGCAATGATCGAAAGGATCTGCACCCATCGCACTTTGTCAAACTTGGAATCAAAGCCCTTGATGAAGCTGTCGAAGAAGCCCTTTAGCTCATCGGCTGCTGCTGGACTTGTGAAGGGTGGACTCACCAAATACTCCAAGAGAGTTTGTGTCAATTGGTGGTACAGCTTGGTAGTCATGTACTTCTGCATCTTGTCCAGCTGCTCACCCAACTCTGGATGAGCCTTGCGCTGCGCTTCCAGCGCTGCACCCGGATCGACCTCCATGGCGCCTCGATCTGCGCGAGAGAAATCGTTTCCTTGAGCCGAAAGGCCTTGAGCCAAAATGGAAGAATGAAAAAGAAAAGTGCTAAATTTGGCGCTGCGCCGTGGCAAAAATGTGCACTCGAAACTCCAATGACTGAATCAAGTGCCTCTGCTGCACCCAGCTCTTCAGCTCGAAGCTGGGACAGGGCAATAGCATACGATAGCAGCGTATGCATCGGTTTCAACAATGATTCAAAATGATTCATAATGGCAACTCAAAATGCTTTCAGGAAAAGTCAGAAACGGAATGAAACGGATAAGTCTTGCAAGCCAAGACATTGCAAAACCCCAACCAAAGGTCGAATGCAAAGTATTTCAATGTATTTCGAAGTACATGAAATTTCGGCGAAATTCCTCCGCAAGGATCCGCAGGCGCTCCCGTTCCTGACCATCCGAATCTCAGCAACGGGGAAAAAAGCTAGGTATTTCTCAATCCAACTGACCTGATTAGCTTTTGTATTCGAGTCATTTGAGTTCAACATGCTTCAACATGATCAGTTTTACAAATTCATAGCCGTGGACATCATTGAAGCCTTGAAGCCTTTGACAGCTCGGTGCTGCGGATGCAGGCGCCCTCTTTTGACCATAGGACTGAATCGCTGTTCGAAATCACATTTGCACTTCAGCCCATGCAACTAATTTGTTTTGCATTCGGAAATCTGTAGCTGAAATGACCCCAAACGCGTTGATTCTGCAAGAGGCAAGGCCTCAGGGCAACCGCCTCACAGTATGAACTTGACTTCGTCTATCCACCTATGTCATGTCGTTGTAAGTTCGGGCTGAGTTTTTAACGCTCTTTCAAACCTGAAACAAGAGATTTGGCGGCTCCGTGCAACGACTTTGGTCGCTTGTCAAAGAACCAGCTGCATAAGTGCAACGGGCCATCAAATTATCCTGCATTGCACTTCAAGTTTGCCTGACATCTGGTTGTGCTACTTAAGACGATCTCAGAACGGAAAAGTGGCTCAAAATGCACATACAGTAAATTTAAACAAAGTGAACTCAAAACGAAAAGCACTGACCAGGCAGGCTGTCAAAGAACTATGTGTGTCGGTCAAGCTGCAAGGCAACTAACAAGGGCAGCACTTTCCATTGCCGGACAGGTTCTTCCCGTCTTTCCATTGAAATCGTTGGATGCAAAGGGAGACCGGAGAGGTGGGTTTTTTGGAGGCAGGGCTACTTCTAGAACACTTTCTTGCATGGCTCTCTGATGTCCGTTCAATCCCCTGAAATCATGGGGAAAAGATGCCACACAATTATGACGTATTCGAGTGCAAAATGCATCATATTCATATATATATATGTATGTATGTAAATATATATATACATAATATAACATATAATATATATATAATATATTCATATCTATTCATATATAAGATATCATCTCTTGATTTTTGTTGGTGCACATGAGCGCTCACATGCATAAATGAGTACATGTCATAAATCGATGCTTGGAAAGTTCACGAGGCGTCGGCCTCGGCGGCTTCACCGGGAAGCTGCACCCTTGAGGCGTCGCTGCTTCTTGGCTGGTGGTGCCATGACCTACGTCATCAAGAGTCCCGGTTGGCATTCTCTTTGGGCATTCGGCATTCTCTTTGGCATTCGGCATTCTCTCTGACATTCTCTTTGGCATTCGGCATTCTCTTTGGCATTCTCTTTGGCATTCGGCATTCTCTCTGACATTCTCTTTGGGCATTCGGCATTCTCTTTGGCATTCGGCATTCTCTCTGACATTCTCTTTGGCATTCGGCATTCTCTT